AAAAAACGATATTTCAAACATCCGCAAATCTAAATTAACTTATACCTATGCTGATAAAACTTCTAATATGTATAATTTATCAAAAGACAGTTATAAACACTTGTTGACAATTGCCATTTAACGCCTTCTACCTACAAACTAGCTTACTTAAAAATAAAAGATAAACAAAGAAGGTAAAAAAAATTTAAAGAATCATGCTATTTTTAACAAAATTGACATTAATGCATCTTTTAACTACTTCATAACGTTAAAAGACCATAAAATTAATTTTACAAACAATCCAACAGTTAGAATAATAAATCCGGCAAAAAATGAAATTAATAGAATTAATAAAGACATTCTTTCAAAATTAAACTCTGAATTAAAAAATACTTTACATCTTAACCAGTGGAAAAACACTCAAGATGTTATCAATTGGTTTAAAAATATAATAGATAAACACCTTTATAAACTCCTCATCTGTGATATCAACGATTTCTACCCTTTAATTAGTGAAAAATTCCTTAACGATTCCATCAGTTTTGCGCAAAAACATGTCACTATAAGCATAGAACAAAAGTCAATTATTATTCATGCAAGGAAATCTTTACGGTTTAATAATGGCCAGGTTTGGATGAAAAAGTCAGGCGGTTTGTTTGACGTTACCATGGGTGCGTTTGATGGTGCGGAGATATGTGAGTTTGTTGGGATATTCATTCTTTTTCAAGTTTCACATTTTTATAGTAAATATGACTTTGGCTTATACCGCGATGACGGATGAGCAGTTTTTAAAAATGCTACTGTTTAGCAAATGGAGAAAATTAAAAAGCATATCACTCACTTATTCAAATGTAACAATCTATAAAATATCTATACAACAATCTATAAAATATCTATACAGTGCAACCTCAAAATTGTAAATTACCTCGACGTAACTCTTAACCTCTGCGACCAGTCATACCAACCATACTGCAAACCTGATAATACTTTAAACTACATACATGCTCAATCTAACCACCCTCCTAATATACTAAAACAACTACCGCAAAATGTTGAACTCAGATTGTCCGGAAATTTTAGCAGCGAAGAGGTGTTTAAAAAATCTGTACCTATTTATAATGAAGCACTACTGGTTATAAACATAATTTATCTTACCGACCTAACTTGAAACAACAACAAAAGAAAAACCGTACGCGTAAAATAATCTGGTACAACCCACCCTATAGCATAAATGTCACAAAAAACACAGTAAAAATCAGCTACAGTTGCATGCCAAACATAAAATCAATAATAAATTTACACAACAAGCACATCCTAAACAAAAATCTTATCATTAATAAAGATAACTGCAACTGCCTTAATATAAACAATTGTCCTTTACACAATAACTGCTTGACTAACAAAATTGTATACCAAGCAACCATCACTTTGGATAACCCTTCAATAAAAAAATCATACATTGGTATTTGTGAAACATCTTTCACACTAACTATTTGAAATCGTTTAATATCCCCAAGTATAGAAACGATACAGAGCTGTCAAAGGAGGTTTGGAACTTAAAAGATAATGATAAAAACCCTGTGATCAATTGAAAAATAATTAGAAGATGTGAAGCGTATAACCTGACAACAAAGTCGTGCAAATTATGCCTTAATGAGAAATATGAAATTATTTCAAATAATGACAATAGTTTATGAAATAAAAAGACTGAAATTATATCAAAATGTCGGCATAGAAATAAATTTCTTCATTGTCAATTCGACGCCAAGGGTTGAATTAACGCATCACGATTTGCGATATCTGTTAAATTATCTGGTCTTCAAAGTTTCAGTTTATGGAAAACCACGAATTTTACGGAATAGGCGAATAAACTTTAATTTGTTAGTGAAAATGTTATGAAAAACAAAACAATAAATTTATGACTACAAAAGTAATAACACTACAGTGTTCTTACTTTTATAACACTCTTTTAAGTTACATTTATAGTTTATTGTTTGATCAAACAACACATAATTAAGCTATTATAAATAAAAATGATTTAGTTAAGCAATTCCAAACTTTAATTAAAGTAGTAATGCATCTAGAAAAAATACAACGGATATTTAAACAATGTTAAAAACCTAAGCAACTTTTACGAATACATATTTTTATAAACAGTTTAGCATTTCTAAACATCTTACTAACGGAAAAAACGCGCGTTCACTTTAAAATCAACCAATGAAAACACTGGTAATTTACTTCTTAGGAGAAATCTATATTAAAAGCGGGGAGGGGTGAGGAGGCTATAAACTTAAATTTTGTTTTATTATTTAATCAATTGAATCATAATAAAAGTAAAGACAAAAATATTCTATTTCTATTTATACTTCTTTATAACTAAAATTTATTAAATTGAACACCTCTGTTTTTAGTTTTAAGTAAATGTCAGTACTACTCTCAGTGGCGCAACTGCGGGGGAGGGGGGACAACTTTAAGATCAACTAATGAAAATATTGGTAATTTACTTACCAGGAGGGACGTTATAAGGGGAGGGGCTATAATTTTTTTTTACTAATTAGTTAATTAAATTATTTAATTAATTAATTAGTAAAAAAAAATTAGTTAATTAAATAGTATCTACTGATACTATTTAATTAACTAATTAAATAGTATCAGAGCGCCACTGAGAGTAGTAACAGTACTACTCTCAGTGGCGCAACTGCGGGGGAGGGGGGGGGCAACTTTAAGATCAACTAATGAAAATATTGGTAATTTACTTACCAGGAGGGACGTTATAAGGGGAGGGGCTATAATTTTTTTTTACTAATTAGTTAATTAAATTATTTAATTAATTAATTAGTAAAAAAAAATTAGTTAATTAAATAATTTAATTAACTAGTTAGTAAAAAAAATTATAATTCCCTCCCCTTATAACCTCCCTCCTGGTAAGTACATTACCAATGTTTTCATTAGTTGATTTTAAAGTTACCCTCCCCCTCCCCCGCAGTTGCGCCACTGAGAGTAGTACTGACATTTACTTAAAACTAAAAACAGAGGTGTTCAATTTAATAAATTTTAGTTATAAAGAAGTATAAATAGAAATAGAATATTTTTGTCTTTACTTTTATTATGATTCAATTGATTAAATAATAAAACAAAATTTAAGTTTATAGCCTCCTCACCCCTCCCCGCTTTTAATATAGATTTCTCCTAAGAAGTAAATTACCAGTGTTTTCATTGGTTGATTTTAAAGTGAACGCGCGTTTTTTCCGTTAGTAAGATGTTTAGAAATGCTAAACTGTTTATAAAAATATGTATTCGTAAAAGTTGCTTAGGTTTTTAACATTGTTTAAATATCCGTTGTATTTTTTCTAGATGCATTACTACTTTAATTAAAGTTTGGAATTGCTTAACTAAATCATTTTTATTTATAATAGCTTGATTATGTGTTGTTTGATCAAACAATAAACTATAAATGTAACTTAAAAGAGTGTTATAAAAGTAAGAACACTGTAGTGTTATTACTTTTGTAGTCATTTATTTAATTTATAACACATACAGTACAGCTAAGTACTAATATTTTAATTTATTTATGTAATATTTCAGTCTGAATAGTTCAGACCGTCATCAGACGTAAAATTAAATACAATAAAAATCTCACAAAAAAACCTATGTAAAAAACCGTTATATAAGACATTACAAAGATGAGCTGACGTAACGTAAACAACTATTTTGAAATTTCTATGATTTTTTTAAAAAGAGGTCGCCAGCTATTTGACGCAATTTTAACACCGTTGTCTTTGTTCAAAAGCGGTGGGAAGCGTCTTATTTCGTAATTTGTTTGGGCATAATTAATTTCAAGTGACTCTCTTATTTTCCTTTCATGGTAGTTAGACTTGAATGCGACCGTTTTTGGGTGCATCCAATTAAATATACCGTGGCAGTTCTTGCAGTGTTCTGTGGCTCCGGAAGCATGCCAATTACCTTTCATACTGTTTATCTGATGCTCAATACTTCTTTGTATAATTTTCTTTTTTGTTTCTCCAATATAAACGCCACCGCATGAACACGTAAGCTTATACACACCCGGCTTGCTATTTGGCAATAGTTTGGATTTGTTATTACACAAAATTCTTTTTAAAGTTGGTGGTGTTGTAAATATAACTTTAGCGCCATATCTCTTGAGCTCTTTCCTTAATTTTGATCCTATTCTTGGAATCCATGGGAGTTTTATTGTTATGTTACCATTTTTTGTTTGATCTGCAACAACACCAACAGATTTATCTTTTTAAAAAAATCATAGAAATTTCAAAATAGTTGTTTACGTTACGTCAGCTCATCTTTGTAATGTCTTCTATAACGGTTTTTTACATACGTTTTTTTGTGAGATTTTTATTGTATTTAATTTTACGTCTGATGACGGTCTGAACTATTCAGACTGAAATACTACATAAATAAATTAAAATATTAGTACTTAGCTGTATTGTATGTGTTATAAATTAAATAAATAAATTATCAAGTACTACAAGAAATGTCATTAAAACAATTTGTAGTCATAAATTTATTGTTTTGTTTTTTTAACATTTTCACTAACAAATTAAAGTTTATTCGCCTATTCCGTAAAATTCGTGGTTTTTCATAAACTGAAACTTTGAAGACCAGGTAATTTAACAGATATCGCAAATCGCGATGCGTTAATTCAACCCTTGGACCCAGGCTAAAGGTAGACTTCGTGTAGTCGATGTTTTGACGTCAGATCCCATTATATTGCTTAATTTTAAACGGTTTTTTGATTTCTTGATTTAAAAAAATATATATGGCTGATGATTGACGCCAGGCAGGAAACTCTGAGTACCAACAAAAAATTGTATTTTTTTCATTTTAATACTAAATAATTATATATATATATATATATATATATATATATATATATATATATATATATATATATATATATATATATATACACACACACATAAATACACACATATAGATATATATTCTAATAAATATTACTGTTTGATATTATATAAATACTAATGTTTGATTAAGTTATTATCAACACTCATTTTAAAATAATCATATTTTTGGTCATGTCAAAACTGTTTCCATCGGGTTGCAAAGAAACATATTCTCCTGTGTCTAGTTGAACTCGCAAAAAGCCATTATCATCCAAACCAATTATTTTTGCTTGGGCGTTGTTTCGACATTCTAGTGATACCAAAGCATTGCTAAAAAAAAAAACATTTAATAAAAAAAAAAAATAAAGTCGAAAAAATTTAACAGCGGTTAACTCCATAATCAATAAATTATTTCGATTATAATAACAACAATATATATTCTGAAATAAAAGTTTACATTTCATGGTTGTTTACTAATAGTACGAGTACTAATCTAAGGTAAACATCAATTAAATAATAATAGCAATCATATAATAATAATAATGTAAATTAAATGAAGACGATTATAATAATATAAATAATACTATTAAATATAATAATGACAATAATAATGGTTTTATTAGTAATTATAATAACAATAACAACAATAATAACAATATTATTTTTATAGTGTATTTTAATAAATTATAAATAAAGTATCAAAAAATAATGAAAATTATCAAAAAATATTATCAAATTTGAAAAAAGGTCAATCATAAATAAATTAAATTCAAAAGATAGCTGACTATTTTCTATAGACGCAGTTCACATTTTTTAACTAAACTATCAAAAAAAAATGTTTTAATCACAATTTTGGTACTCAAATGGACTTCCTTTGCGCTCAATTACTTGATAAATTCGTTTTGGCATACTTCCCACCAAGTTTTCCAGCACTTTTGGCTCCATATCCTCCCAGCATTCTGATACCGCTACTTTTAGCTCTGCCACAGAGTTATATTGCTTCTGGTCAGCATATATACGTCTTACAATGATTCCCCAGATATTTTCAACAGGATTCAAATCTGGATTGCGAGCAGGCCACCACATTTGCTTGATTTTTTTAGCTTCAAACCAAGCTTTAGTCTCGTTGCTAGTGTGAATGCTGGCGTTGTCTTGTTGGAAAACAAACTTTTTGCGTCGATATTTGTTTTTAAATGGAATCAAACATGATTTTAGCACATCAATGTATTCAGAACTTTTCATTTTGCAAGATGTAAATGCTAAATTTAACTTTCCTGTTGCACAAAACCCAAGCCAAACCATCAAAGATCCACCACCGAAATTCCTTGTTGAAAAATATTTGGGTTCTCTCCTCAAATCACGCCAGTAGTCACTAAAACCATCAGGCCCATCAGGATTAAAATTTTTCTCGTCCGAAAAAATCACCTGATATTGAAAACAAAAATATTCAGCTATTTAGACATCCTACGTATTCATGAGAATTTAATCTAAAATTTCTTAATTGTTCCCAATCGCGTGCCATGTTTTTGCGGACGAATTCCATTCGTTTCTGTTTGTGAACGGGCTTCAAACTTGGTGCTTTATTCATTTTTGATCGTACAATGTGTATGTTGTCTTTAAGAACTTTCCTTATCGTCTCCTTGCAAACATTTAAACCCAAATCTGACTTAATTGTTTTCAAACTTTTTGATGAATTTGATGCGAGTTGAACAATTCTGCGTTTTTCACGACTTGAAATCTTAGATTTCTTTGGTTTCCTCTTGATTGTTGCATAATCTTAGATTTCTTTGGTTTCCTCTTGATTGTTGCATAATCTGCTGGATTTTTCAAGAAATTACGGATAACGTGATCTGATCTCTTCAATCTTCTAGCAATTTCTCGATTTGGAACTTTTTCTCGATGAAAAGCCAATATTTGACCTTTTTCAATATCAGTAAGGACCTTTCCTTTCCGCATTTGGTTTAGTTCAACTTAATTTCGACTCACAAAATAAAAAATACCATAGAATATAAGAAATTTGCGAAAAAATTCGTAAAAATTTAGTGCGTCTATAGAAAATTGCCACGTGAATATTAAAAATTTAATTATTTTAATACAATCAAGACAATTAATAATCAGATGCATAATGGATCATCGTTTTCTTACGTATACTTATTTAAAAGTACCGTTAGAACAATTTTATTACCACTGTAACACTGTAAATCCGCTAAATTCTACATGCGTCAATAGAAAATGGTCGCAGTGTATTAACATCACATATAATAATAATAATAATAACAATAGTAATAATAATCTATAATAATTCTAAGATTTTAATTAGAGTATTTTTCTATCAAAAAGTCAAAAAGACGGGTTTTAAATTGTGAAAAAGAGTTGAGGGATTGAAAATGAAAAGATAAATTATTCCAAGATTTTACGCATTGGTTTGTAATAGAATTATCACCGTATTTTACCAAACAGCGATTTGGGATAGATAATTTAAAGTTACTCAATGATCGAAAGTAATAACGAGAACTTTTTTTAGTGGTAAAAAAATTGGAGAATGACGGAGGGAGGTTTACTTGTTTATGATTCCAGACAAATAGACAATTATGTGATCTTGCTTATTTAATAAATAAACAAGATCACATAATTTGAGTATTTTTGAAAGTAAAGGATGTCAGAGTAAGAATGATACTGTTGAAAGAATAAATTTTTGTTTATGCGACACAATGATCGCAAAAAGTGACCAACGGAGCCGTCCAGTTACGTAGACCTGGGAGATGTGAAAATAAAAACAGATTGAAGATGATGTCATATAGGTAAAAAACATAAATTAATGCAAAGACTATTTAGTTGGAAGAGTAAAAGTAAGCAACTCAGGAAAAGGGGAATAAAAACTCACACTCTAGTCGTCTTTAAACAAATGATGAAATAATGATCTATGAGTAAACAAGTCAATAAAAATCCGCTGGTTTATAATGGTATTAATAACTAAAATAATCGCACCATACAAATGTCTAATAAATGTGGTACTATATATGTTCTAAACTCTAGATAAAAAATTGATAATTGATAATCACCTGTGTAACATAAAAAATATATAAAGGTCGTAAATGTAACAAATTCATAATAAAAAGCTCATTAAGCGCAAAAATACATGGGTTAAAGAGGTAAAAAAATGTTGGTGCCATAATAACCAATTAGAATTAAGTAGTGGATAAATGGTGATCCCCCTCCTCAGGAATGCACTGCGATCACCAATGACGTTTCGGAGAGCCCGAGGCCTGCACTAACGCCACTCGTCAGGGGCGTGTCCTTGCAACAGATCTCACCGCCTGCACTCTACGTCATGCTAGTCAATATTGCAATATAATAGGACTACACTACAAAAGCCAAAAAACCAATCCCTATCCCAGTTTTTGAAAACAGCTCCAACATTCTTAGAGATCTCGTGAGGGTGGTGAGGAATGCGCGTGGTGTGACCAAAAACAGATATGTGAACACATATAAATATGAGGTACCCTTACATTAGAAGAAACAAACTTGTACATATGTACGTATGCGCGTGTGTAAATAAACAATTATAATGTGTAGAAATAAAAAAAAAAAGGCGAATAGAAAATAGTAATTAATAATTAATAGTAACTTACCGTTTTTTTTATGGCTGAAATATGTATTATAAATATAAGTAAATACCACTCATAAGCATTGATATTAAGTTAAGATGTTTTGTGGTTAGTACGAAAGTAGTTAAACAAAAGTATGATAAAAAATATATAACTCTAAATAGTATGTTCTCATATAAATCTTGCCTGGTAAGTAGAGACAATAGCTATCACACAAAACAGACTCAGAGTAATTAAATAACGATTAGCCAGAGATAAAAAAATATACGAACATCAAATCAGTAGGCAGAAAGTAATGAGGAAATAAAAAGATAAAACAATATATGCGATTTTAAACTAATAGCTTATAACCACTAAAAAATGTAACGTTAAAAAACAAATAGACAATTTAATAAATAAGCAAGATCACATAATTTGAGTATTTTTGAAAGTAAAGGATGTCAGAGTTAAAATGATACTGTTGAAAGAATTTTACTTTGTTTCTTTACTTTGTTTTGTAGGTTACATAACCTTAAAAAAACATTAGACTTGCATTGTCCCCAAACCTGACAAGCGTATCTAAGATGAGATCCAAAAATTGCATGGTATATTTTAAGTAGAGTTTTATAATTGACATAGTTGCGAATTTTGGCTAGCATCCCATTTGATCTACACAATTTTACTGCTAAGTTTTTAAGATGAGAGAAAAAAGATAGATCTAAGTCAATTTGGATTCCAAGATGTTTTAAAGAAACTACGGGAAAGATTTTTTGTCCACTTAGCCTAAAGTTTAGGTTTTTATACATTTTAGATTGATTTGATTTGAAAATAAAAGTTCATTAAGACTTAGTTTGTTAGAGCGCAGCCATTGAAGAAGGTTAGATAAATCATGATTAATATGTTTGTTAACTTTTTTTAATGATTTGTTTGTTATGAGTAAGTTGGTCTCGTCAGCAAAATGGTAAGCCGTTAAAAAATTTAGAGAGATATTAAGATCATTTATAAAAATAAGGAAAAGCAATGGTCCTAATACAGAACCTTGGGGTACACCCGTGGAGCATTTTATTGGAAAAGATTTGGCATCATTGATGAAGACAAATTACGATCTATTAAAAAGATATGATGAAAATCATTGCAGAGTATTACCTCGAACACCGTAGTGTTCTAATTTACTTAAGAGGATGGAGTGGTCAACAGAATCAAAGGCTTTCTCTAAGTCAAGAAACACTCCACATGCAAAAAGTTTAATGTCAAGAGCATTTCTAATAGTTTCAGTTATTTCAATAAGTGCATGAGTTGTGGAGTGTTTGTTACGAAATCCATACTGATGTTTGTAAAGACATTGGTTTTTGTCAAGAAAACTATAAAGTCTATTGTACATGGCTTTTTAATATATTTTACTAATGTTAGATAGAAGAGAAATTGTTCGATAATTTCTGTGGTCCATTAGAGAACCCTTTTTATGGATAGGAATAACTTTGGCTCTTTTAAAAACATCTGGAAAAAGATTTTTATTAAAAGAATTATTTCAATATGGTACAGAGAAGCTTGCAAATAACATGGGAAGTAAGTTTAAGAAGGTGTGTGGGGATACTATTTGGTCCTAAACTTTTACCATTTTGTAAACTATTTTTTATTAAATGAGACACCTCATTTTCAGTCCATGGATTAAGAAAGAAAGAATAAGAATTAGCATTTTTTATATAGTCAGAAAAGACACTTTTAGAAGAAATCATTTTACTT